CAAGGTAGGGCAACGAATCGGTTTGTAAAGAAGCAAAGCTAAATTTCGTTCTCAAGGTCCAAAAGGATGAAAGTGGACCACCTGCAAAGGTGGTATCGTATATTCCGGTCAGACCGATGCAGTTCTTCAGTTTGGCTTTTTCTCATGCTTGTTATAATATTGTCCCAAAAGACCATTTTACAGTCGTCTGCTCAATTACTTGCCTCACCTATCAGTGCAAGCGAGCCTTGCTTTATTACAAACACCTCTGGTTTTTCGTTCAAATGCAAACTAGTTAGCATCAGAACAACTTGATTGACACAACAAAAGCAGTGAGGTCTGTACCAAAACAAGGTCACCTCCAGCCTCGTTGCCTTTCAAGGGCCAGGTCATTGTGTAGACAGCTGTAAAATGGTCTCTTGGCATTGAAACTTCAGTAAAAATTTAAAATCGTTTTTGTTATTTAGAACAGGAATTACGGAACTAGATCTGATTAACGCGAGCCTTGTAATTATATTTATTTCACTTTTTCTTTAATGCAATGCCTAATATTCTACTTTAAAATATGTCACAATGATATATTCAAGTTTATTTATGTACTGTTTATAGTTTCTTACGGTTTACACTATAATAACTACAGTAAATATATATGTAGCATTTATGTTCATTTAGTTTTGCGTTTTAGTGATCTGGGTTTATCAGACTACTGTTTTTTCTTTGCACGAATGGGACAAGTTGTCCTTTATTTTAGTAAAAAAATCCATATTAAATGAAAAGCACTTGTTATGGATGTTAGTCGCTACTCCAGACAAGTCATTGCAACCATAGTTAATAGAGGGAAATGGTTAGGAACCTGGCAAAGTTCTTTGTTGTATGTTCTCGTTGGCTATTTTGGGGGTTGACCCTGCACAAAACCTGGCAAAATACAAAAGGTGGTTATGTGTCCTAATACAAATAACCAATAGAAGCATTGTGATTAGGTAATTCATGCACAGTCTATGAGCATAAACCAAAAGATGTGCAGGGTCAAGGACCTTCGAACGTCATTCTTAGCCTGTTTGTTTGCTTCTTTGATGTTTACCGAGCTTCTTAACTATTTCCCTCCATTACCTATACCGCAACTGAATATAATTTGTTCTTTATTTTACTCGTCGCAAGTTAATGACACGTACATGTACTATCACTGTTATGTCCCCCTGTGGTTAAGGAAACTTGCTTGCATGGCGTCCTCAAAGTTCATTTTGAATTAAAAGAAATGGTGCATGCAATTTCCTTGCCCAATGCTAACACTTGAGAAATTTCGAGTAGCCCGAAATTTTCTAAATCGTTTGCATCAGTTTATGACCCCCTTTCATGGACAGGGGCGGGCAAAACATAAAGATACGTCATTGACGTGTTTCCACAGGCCAATCAGAACGCTCGTTATATAATATTTTATAACCAATTAATAGAACTGGAATACAGTGACCTTAAACAGAATCCTATACAGTTAAGTAACAAAATACTATGAAGTAGTTTGATTGTATGTAGAAACCTATCTATGTCAAAGAGTGTCATTTAGCTAAGATGTATACCTCAATAATAGCAGTTTCTTAGAAAATTAATGACTTTTTTCTTTCTGAAAATAGTAAAACCTCTATCAGATATTCTCATTTAGGAAATAGGTAAATATTGATTAATAGTTTAGATGTGCCCGCCCTTTTCACTCCCTGACCAAAAACTAGTTTCTCCTTGCAATATAACGCCGTCTCATGTAGTCTGATAATGCGAACAAATAAACTCATCAACAGGTTATCGTGCAGTACTTTCATGTGGTATTGCTTCGCATTGTACGACAAAGAAAACCTTATTAGCAGTTGCCCTACAATCGTGAACAAAAGTCCTAAGGACACTTATGTAATGTATCGAGTTATCTGTGTTTTACAAGTTTGAAAAGGTCGCTGCTATCCTTTGAAAAACGAATTGCTGTTCCCCCTCCCCACCCAATACAATGTTGAAAATCACAAAAAAATTTCAGGTGCTAGTTTTCAAAATTGTATGTGGGGTGGGGGGAGAGGTCAGACAGGTGAAGTTGTATTCGCGTCTAGCGTGTGTGCAAAAGCACCCGAAGTGCAAACTTGTCCATTCTTGTAGGTTCTCGAGTTTTCTATGAGCGAAACCAAACCGCGCAGGCTATCGCTTAGAGAAGTTGAGGACGATAGCTCTTAGCAAATTATTTCAAGATTAAAGAAGTAGTGCCAAAACTGTAAAAAAAGTTTTCTTTTAACATTTAAATCACGTTCGAGACCAAACCGATTGCGATTATTTCTTTGAAAGATAGATGAAATTTCTGGAGATTTACTCTTCAAGTGTGATTTTCCATTAACTTTGAGCTTTCTCCATTGACTCCGCCATTAGTGACGATCTGTGCTAATGAACAGCGGTTTTCCTCTAAACAGGATGCACACTCGTTAATAGTCTTCTCTGGTCTCCGCCGCTTTCGTGACGTCACAGACGCCAGCGTGCAAGGAACTTGCTTCTCTTGCAGTATGGGAATCGGTAACGCGAGTAACACAACACCAGAAACACAACAAACGGATCCGACGATCTTACCAAGAACAGACGAAGGCACTACATCACCATAACTACACGATGAGAAAATAATCAAACAATAACATTTAGCCTGGTAGTAATTGTCGGTAAAGTCTGGATACGAGCTAAGTGGCTCATTAGGCCAGCGCCGGTTTCTGTAGCATTAAGCGACTAGTGGTATTTCCACTGCCCCCTGGATGGGATGCTAGTCCATCGTTATGTTACCCCCAGTATTAAATTCGCCAGTACCCATTTGTACACCTGTGGGTGAAGAGAGGAATTGTGAGAGTAAAGTGTTTTGCTCAAGAACACGACACAATGTCCCCGAACAGGGCTCGAACCTGGACCGCTCGATCCGGAGACGAGCGCACTGACCATGAGGCTACCTAGGTACCTCTCACGGTACCTAGTACTTGTAGACTTGGCAGAAATGGGTGATTTTATTTTCAAGCCGTCATGCTTATTACCTGTAGATGTATGTAACGTGGGAATGGCCTATTTAAAAGTTTTGAATAAGGCGTTCAATAGGGAACTTAAGCAAACCACGACGAAGACGGCAACGTGAACGTCACAAAAAAAAGGTTTAATGAGAAAAACAATAGCTGTGCACGTGCATTATAAATCGTTGTATATTTCTTTGCCGTCCTCTGAAAAACAACAACGTGAAATGACCAAGTTCTACGGCGTCTACGAAACGTGGACGACGCAGCTAATTTTCGTATTTCCAGTTGGAATTGAACGCCGTCGTTGCATATTTAGATTACGCACGCTTTTAGAACAATTGGCGTACCCAACAGATCTAGACAATCGCGAATTTCGTTTGTAAAATATAAATTCATTTTTTACTAGTCGTCGTCCTCGGCGTCGTCGTCGTTGTTGCTTAAGCTCCCTAATTTTATACCCACAACTTGGTGTAGCAAACTTACACGTTCAGCAGTTTTAAGGGGGCAAATATGGGTTGATTTCTCTTTTGTGTTTGTTGTTGTTGTCGTTGTTGTTTCTGTTTGTTTCCTGTTTTCCACAAAATAATTTCGTGGATTTTGTTTACTTTTCACTGTTACGAAAACTTTTATCGGAGATGACTTGTACCACCAAAAGAAAAAATACCTTTAAAAATGTAATAAAAAAAGACTAACATTTCCAGAGGAAGACATGAAAAATAGTCGGAACGTTTTGTCAATATCTACCTGTGCAATCCTCCCTCGAAATGTTTAATTCATGTTGATCTAGATAAACGTTCATGCAGACTGAAACAAAAATCTGTGACAAATATTTTACTACGAAGGATATACATGTATAATGAGTCATTTTACCCCTTTTTGGCCCTTTCAGATTGTTTCAACATTTTGCGTGCAATTCTGAGTATCGTCCAAGAAATTGACTCTGTGGACATGCGTACTGCTCAAGCGCGCGCTAATGTGACGAATTATAGCGCCTTCGACTTCCATAAAAAAACTTTTTTTTCCATTAAGGGATGGATTACTCTCATTTAGACATCAACTATGCGGTGACGTCCTTTGAGGGTGTCGGTAAAATTATCCGCTTTTTTTTTTTCTTTTTAGTTGCGGTTTCATATTTATCATGTTTACCTCCATGTTAAATGGCATTGAAAGCCTTTTTTGCATTGACACTTAAAATGAACCTTATCTGATCGTTTAAGGTTGCAATTTAGGACATTTGTCTTTTAGTGCTTTTTAAAACCCATTGAAACACCAACCAATCCATTTAAATCCCAGGGTGACTGTAAAAATTCCACTCTTTAGTCGATTGACGTTTCAGTTTAAGCCATTTGTCTTAGACGCCACTTAAACCTATTGAAGCACAGTCCCATTCATTTGAATCCGACAGCTGACTGTAAGAAAAATCACCTCTTTTAACAATTGACAGTTACCATTACCTTTACAGTTACCAATTGACAGTTACCTTTTCAAAGTTTTTTTCAGACCCGTTCACACCCTTATACAAATAAGCTGTATTGTTACTTTTCATGCAAAGAGCCTCGGATACTTAATACAAATACACAAGTATTGGGTGGTTGAAACTATCGAAAAATAGCCAATTGCTTTAGAACAATCATCTCCATGTCGTGCTTATTTCCTACCGAATCTGAATTGGAGATTACAAAGCTTTTAGGGAAACCAAAAATGACAACAAGGATTGAAGATATATAAGATATTTTCAGTTAAATTGATTTAACTCAAACCAGGGACCATGCTAGTCAAGATTCAAATTATTTTACAGTCTAGTTTTGTACGATAGCTTTTAAGTATTAATAATAAAGCAACAACTAAAAGATCGATTGAGAAACTCTTGAAACTTTTACCGTATTGTCTTCTATTAAGGTTGTGCGGAAAGCCGCAAATAGTTTGCTTTTAACGTACCTCGACGCATAATTAATTCAAACGACGAGAAGTCGCCCAGCAGTAAAAAGCTTTTAAGCGTGGGTTTCCACCACCACAATGTAGTCTAAACTAAGACCGTGAATTTCTAAATATTTAGAGCTATTCATTACCTAGTTTTCTTAAAGAATGATACTTTATGAAAATTGGACAATCGATTTTTCTATATTTTTGAAGTGCAAAATTGTTCGGAAATCGAAATAGTAAAAATTCATAATTTGAAATTTCATAATTTGATCAATAATTTGATGGAGTGTAAGGTTCGATAAAATTAGCAGAAAATTTAAATTTTGATTACCGAGAGTGAACGTGATATATATAAAAAATAATGAATTCCACCAGCCGACTTCTTATACTAATAAGACTAACTGACACAAATTCAACATTTAAACATCGATTTCGATACTTCGAGTACAGAAAAATAATAACGTAAATAAACGGTACTCACCCGACAGTCATAAGCGTGACACAGATGTACCAAAATGATTCCGGAATGCTGGAGAACTTTGGATCACCCTCCGCGAGCTCCAAATAGTAAATTGCTGTTCCAAATAGAATAATTGCCAAGAAACAAATACAGTAAAGGAAGACTATGTCTACGGCACATCGACGAAGAGTAAGCAATAAGCAGCGCAGTCTTCGCGAATTCCTCGTGAGTTTCAGAATCCGAATCACTCGTAGCACTTTCAGTATTTGAAGAAAGCTTGTTTCCACTCCAAAACTTGTCACAACCAAGGTTATGTAATAAGGCAGAATCGCCAACGTATCGATCACATTCATGGCGTCCAACATAAATTTCTTCTTCTTCGGGCAAACGTAAAACCGAATCAAAAGTTCGACTGTGAATATAACAACGCATATTGACTCCACTGTGAAGAAGATTTTGTGGTACGCTTCGCCGCACGTCAAATTCTCCCCGCATTGTAATGTCTCCAATGACGCTATTAATACACTAACGAATATAAAAAACCCGTATATGATATGAAATATTACTCCTGTTTTCGTTGTCTTTGAAGGGCCTATTGTCCGCCAAATTTTCTGCCGCAGCGAAAGTTTTGGTTCACAGTGCAGGTCGCATAAATTTCCATGGCAATTGATAGATTCCCCTTTGAGTTCGTCTTCGTCACCTTCAACAAGGACAGATCTCTCTTTAGCACTGCAGTGATCCCAGCAACAATTGTCAACATCGTAAATCGAAAATCCATAAAATTGCAATTCCTCTTCGAACGCTGCGGGACAGTCTTCCTGTGAACAGTGTAGTTTACCGTAGCGGTAATAATTCAAAACAAATTTGAACAAATACGGATCTCGATCGAGAAAGTATTCCTTCCGTCGGTCGTCATAAAATTGTTTCATCGTCTCGCTGCTTCCGAGCAAAGAATTCGGAAAACGCAGCAACGTGCTCTGCCACGTTTGAAACTTGATCCCGCTGACGTTGATCGTTAAACGCCGGTCGTTAGTGGAGCCAAACGACTCCGCCGTCACGCGCCTGCCGCTTAGAGCAGACCCAATTGAGGCCCTGGGGTACTCAAGAAGTGATTTTCGTTGCAACTTGTTATTGTTAGAGACGTGATGTTTCTTCAATAATACGCCTGAAATGCTTGAGTGAAACATTGGCGATTTCCCCACCAGAATCTCGGTTACGCTTTGTCTTTCTGAAAGCCAGTTTAAAATCCTGTCGTGCCTTCCCCTCGAGCGTGGTAGCACTCCCAGGTTCTATGTTTATGTTTCGTTGTTGTTGTTGTTGTTGTTGTTTTTTTTTTTTCAGGGGCAATGTTGAGTTTGTTGTGACCTTTTCTGCTGGAGCGCAGATTTGAGGTGTTGGTGTTTTCGAGTCTTCTTCAAACAAGCTTCACGATGATCACAAAGATAAACCGAAGCCACGTGTTCGAGCATACAAACGATTGAATTGAAAGAATTGCAACAAAAAGAAGAAATTACCATATGGTTTGTTTCAAAGGAGACTTCTCTCTTCTATTGTGGTAAAGGTTCTCATTGGCCAGGCTTATCGTAGATTTGCCTTTTACGCCCTTACTAATAAGCTCGCCGCAGTCGACCTGTAGATGGGAAATATACCACAAGGTGAGCTTGAGTGGCGCAGAATGAATTTTGATTATAACTTTTTATCACGCTTACATCATGTGTGTCGCGATATCCTTAAAACACAGCGATAAAACCGCTAATTATAAGCCGTGTATTGAATATCTTAAATTCATGAATTGTTTGCTCTTCGATCGCGTTTATGCTTTTGTTTTGTTTTGTTTTTTTAATAATACCAAGGTTCTCACATAATGTTGCCGCATATTCCCGCAGTGTGACACTGCTTGACTGCATCTTACCCGCCAGAAGAAATGCACCATCTTATAAGCTACCAACAATACTTTTTCCGCTTTTGCTTTTCAGCAATTTTCCTTACAGCAAAATCATAGGACCATTTGGACATAATTTATCTTCTATTTCAATGATGCATTTAACTTTAGGGGTTTTGCTAATTCCATGTGGTTTCACTACCTCTTAAGGGAAATTAAGA